TTTTTAGGGTAAGGATTTTAGAAAAAAGTATCGTCTTATAGTCGGAAAAATACGGTATTTGCAGAAATCCAAGCAGATCTTGGTTCCTGAGCTTAACAGCCTCACAGGGCTTAACAGCCAAGTCTACAGGTAGTCCTTGCTTATCAACCACAATAGGGACCAGAAAATTCATTATTAAGCAAGGTGGTTGTTAAGCAAGCCACACCTGATTTTATGGCCCTTTTTGCAGCGGTCATTAAGTGAATCACCATGGCCAACCAAATCATGTGGTGGTTAAGTGAATCGTGGTTCTCCATTGATTTTGCTTACCAGAAGCCGGCTGGGAAGATTGCAGTGGCAATCACATAACCTTAGGATGCTGCAACCGTCATAAGTGTGAACTGGTTGCCAAGCGCCCAGATCGCAATCGTGTGACTGCAGGGGTGCTGTGATGGTTGTAAGTGGGAGGACCGGTTATAAGTCCCTGTGTTCAGCACCATTGTAACTTCAAATGGCCCCTAAACAAATGATTGTTAAGTGAGGACTACCTGTATAGGGAAAAGCATGTGCCTTGAAGTCTATTTCTCCCTAACATTTATCTTGGGCATGATTCCAACAGGTGTCACCTGGGGAAATGATGGCCACAGTAGATCGGTTGGGGTGGTGTCTGATGAAGGGACGGGCAAAGAAGTAGAAGATCATCTGTGGAATCAGAGAGGGGAAAAGAAACAAGAAGAGAACCAACCAGCCAAAATATGGCCAAAGGAATCGGCAGGTATTTAATGAAAGAAAGATTTATTTAAGATTTGTATCGTGGCTTTGATGGATGTTACCATGATGAGTGGGAATTGTGGCATTCTGACCGGAGCATTCTTATTCAGGCCAGCCATGCTCTCCTTCCAGAATTTTGCCAACCTTAAGGACAAACTGAAACATCCCCCTTCCTCTAGCAGGTATTTTTCTGCTCCAGCTGACATCTGCCACTCTGCGGGGACCTAATCCGTCCTTACTGAATCCTTTCTCCCTCTCTCCCAGGGTTAGTACTTGAGGTGATCTCTTGAAATGAATGCAGAGAATCTCAGGACCCAAAAAAGAAGTTTCTCATACTGGGCAAAGTTCAAGGGTGGAATTGGCCACTAGCGCAAGGGGTCCTGGCCACCAAATTGGAGGATTTGAAAAGGGGACTGGATGGGTCCACGGAGAATCAGGCCCTCAGTGGCTCCTAATATTGCTGGCTGCTGATGGCCTCCTGACCCAGAGGCTCCCGGCCTTCCATTCAGGCTTGGCAGCTTCTCAAATCCATCCCTTTGGCTACAGTGTGCAATGGTCTGTGGGAATGTCCTTGGGAGACAGGAGGGAGAGCTGCGGACTAGACAATGGGTGTGTAAAAGGTATCTCAGCCCAGAGGAGGAGGAGGGAGGGTGTGGGAAGTGACTCAGGAGGGACCCTCCCTAGTTTTCCAGAGAGTAAAAGGAGAGAAGGGGAGAAAGACTTTCAGTCTTGCAAGATTCTGTTAATGTTAAAAGCTTACAATAAAGATAGAGCTGGTACTTCTGGGTGTGCTTCCTGTCTGGACCACCTCACAGGGCTCATGCACTGGGACACAGGGCTTGATGGTCCCCAGGCCTGATTCTGCCAAAGAGTGTGTAAGCTTTCTGAGTTCTCCTGAGCTCTTCATCAGGCTAGCCGGTTAAAAAGAAAAGTTATCAGGAGAGAGAGGAAGAAGCAGAAAAATCCAAAGGTTACAGCCAAGAGATCTGTCCTCAGTTCCTGTTTTTTGTACTGCACTACAGAGTTTTGCGGAAAGTAAAGCCTTGCGCATTCTTCTGTGGCCCTTCTGTCGGTCTTCAAGTGTGGTTTTGTTGGTTGTTTGTTTTAATCCTGGATGAATGAACCTTTTTTCCCTTTAGAAAAAGGAACATTTTTTTAATAAGCAACTTTGAAAAATTGTTTGGGGAAATGGGAATCAGTGATTCATCTCCTGGAAAGAACTAAAGTGATAAGGGTTTTTCAACATTCCCTCTTCCCTTGCTTTCTCGGTGGCCGAAAGGTGATGAGACGATACCTGGAACCGACACCAAGACGAGTGGGGGCCTCCTGTCCAAAGAACCCCTGCAGGCTCTGCCAGGAGGGTCACAAACAAGGGTCCCCCTTGTGATGGAGATGGCTGAGAGTGAGTATCCACAAGAGTAGGGAGACTGCCCCCTGCCCCTGCCCCATCAGCAGAACGCCTGCTCCAGAGAGGCCGTTTGGACACCAGGAAAGGCAGTTCTGACGTACCTGAGCAGAGTTCCACAAGGACCATCGGTTTACTTACGTCTTCCTTTTTCCCCAGTTCTGCCAAATTTCACAGGCTTACTTCTAAGACTTTACTTTTTTAAAAAGTGTTTTATACATTTATGGTTTGCCCTCCTCTCTATATTTCTGGTTTGCCTTATTCTGTGATTTGGCACTCTTCAGGTTTTACCTGAAAAGGGACACTGACGTTTTTCCCAAATAGCATTCCCCAACTAGATACATTCTGGGTAGGCTGAAATAGAACTCCCGCCCTCCTTTTTGCTTTATTATTTCAAAGGATTTACATTTTCAGCTCCTCACTGACCACAATACATCTGGCACACCTGTTTGATTTTGAATCTTTGTTACTGGCCTTGTCTCCTTTCTCTCTCTCTCTCTCTCTCTCTCTCTCCCTCCATCCCTCCCACTAGGTGATGTCTGGGAAAGTGGGAGTGAATGGGAACCTTATGGGGTATTGTCAGAAGATACGGAGGATGAGGACACAGAAAGCAACTTTGGGAACCCAAAAGGGCCAGAGAGGAATAAAGAAACCCAAGTTGAAGAGTGGCTGAATAAAGACAATTCCCAGGAAAGCAACTACAGTGGAATGTCGGTGCAACAAAAAATCTACAAGGGCAAGAGGAAGAACCAGTGCAAAGTTTGTGGGAAAAGTTTCACTCGAAAGGCAAGCCTTAAAGTTCACCAGAGAATCCACACAGGGGAGAAACCCTATAAATGCACCGTCTGTAGCAAGGGCTTTTGTGACAAAACCAGCTTTCTTCGCCACCAGAGAATCCACACCGGGGAGAAACCGTACAAATGCCCAGAATGTGGAAAGAGTTTTAATCGGACCACAAATCTGATTACCCATCAAAAAACGCACGTGGAAAGCAGAGAGAAGACCTTTCATTGCTCCAGCTGCAGCAAAAGTTTTTACAACAAGTACAGCCTGAAGACCCACTGGCGAAGCCACACCGGGGAGAAGCCATATAAGTGCTCCAGTTGCAGCAAGAGCTTCTGCGATAAGTCCAACCTGGAAGCTCACTGGCGCGTGCACACCGGGGAGAGGCCTTTCGAATGTTCAGAATGCGGGAAGAGCTTCAGTGACCGCAGAACCCTTCTTCGCCACCAGAGGATCCACACGGGAGAGAAGCCGTACAAATGCACCGAATGCGGGAAGAGCTTCAACGACCTCGCCACGCTTCTCCGGCACCAGAAAATCCACACGGGAGAGAAACCCTATCGGTGCACTGAGTGCGGGAAGAGCTTCAACCAGAGCTCACATCTCATCCGACATCAGAACACGCATGACGCCAAACGCCATAAAACCTTGGAACCAAAGCGTGGGTCGAAGGCTTCCATTGGGGCCAACATCTTCCTGGATATCGGAAGCTTCGCCCAAGAGAGCTATTACCAGTACACTCACCCCACAGAGCCTTTCCACTGGCCCCTTTCGTCGTATTCATCTTCCACTGAGCCAGGGGAAGGAGGCATGCCAAACCTGTGGACTATTCAGGAGACATCTGTGGGAGATCAAGCCATCCTGGTTATGAAAGAATTCACAGAGGAGAGGACCTTAGCCCTGTGAAGGTTGTGGGTGCAAAAGAGACTTCGGCTGCAGCTACACTTTCTGGGCATCCTAACCTGGTCAACCCACAAGCTGTGCAAAGGTTGAATCCCATCCTGAAAATGAACCCGTTTTCCAAGGACAGACTCATTGATCCGAAATCACAGAGCAGGGCTTTCTTTGGAAAGAGACCAGATTCTTTAGGAAAGATGGAAGGCATGAAATTCCTGGACATCTTCACTGTTTGCTCACTGTTTGGCTGCGGGCAATGATTGGAGAGAGAGAGAGAGAAATATACATTCTCCAAAGACCGGATTTAGGGTGCAAGCTTGGGGAGGGGAGGAGAAGGACAAGAGATTGATGGTTCAAAATTGTGCTACTCCAGCAGCAAGTTCAGATCTCACGGTTTGGCCCCCAGGGCTGTTTTCTCAGTCCCCAGGGAAGCAAAAAGAATAATTGAATTCAAGCAGTTGAAAGAAAAGACAATAGAATATCCTGCCTTGAAGAGCAGGAGTTCTTTCTCCTCCCCGTTTTTGAAATGGGATCCTTTTTAGCTGAACCAGGTGAGAAATGCTGGGTCTCTTCCGCTTGCTCTGACTTCCTTGAACGAACCCCAGGTTCAAAAGGGAGGGGGCAGGAGGGCTGTTGGCGTTGGTAAATAAAAGGATAGCCTCTTTTGTCCACTGAATAGAAATTTAAACATGCAGAAAGATTGCAGATGAGGAACAGGTGGTCCAAAGAAATTGGGACAAAAGCGTGGACATGAAGCAAGACTGCTGTTTTACGAATACCCTTTTTACTGTTTAATTTTCAAAGAAGAGATCCTCCAAAGGAGTGTTTCTCAGCCTTGCCAACTTTAAGATGTGCGGACTTCAACTCCCAGAATTCCCAGCCATTCCCAGAATTCCCCAGTCAGCCCAGAATTTCTGGGAGTTGGTCCACACATCTTAAACTTGCCAAGTTTGAGAAACACTGCCCTAAAGCAGTGCTGCCAAAATTATGAACTCATAACGGATAAGTGTGGATGCATGAATATCCAGGAGCGTGTTAGATTTCCAGCATGCCTTTTTTAAAAAAAAATTCTCAACCCTAACGCAGCACAAGGATTAAGCATGTTATGGCCAGTTTATTTCAATGGGATTCAGTGTGCTTGACAACTGCTGCAGAAAGTCGTCATTATCAAAACGATTAAGATTGCCATGTTATGCAGGTTTAATGAAAGACCGACCCTTGTAGGAGGCCAAGAAAAGGATTAATTGTGCTGCCTTATGCTTTCTAGCCAGACATTAATCCTCTCGAATGCAGGTGGGGAGTGCAGAGATTTGCAAAATGAGACAGGCACAGTTCTAGCACAGGAAGACCTCTGCGATGGAAACAGAATCTCCTCTAGAGGAATTTCCCATCACAGGGAAGGGTCGTTTTGTACATAGACAACGGGGTTGCCAACGTTTGAGGCAAGGTGGCATTGTGCAAATGCCCCAAATTTGCAGACTAGATCTTGCCAATCAGGGGCTTAACAAGTTGAATACAGTTGCTTAAACCGATAATGAACTTCCGAACCATCGCTGTCTCACACGATTATCACATCTTGCAAGATTTTTGACAATCCCCTCTTGAGAGCTCCAACTGGGATGTCAGAATCTCATGGAATCTTGTGTCGAGATCTGAGGTCGGACAAGGTTTGAACCATTTAAAAAGGTGGTTGTTTTTTAAAGTGGGCATTCTGTGGGGGTGGGGCCCACATTTGGAGGGCTCCACTGTCGCATGGCTGATCCCTGGCTTATAAGCAAAGGGTTATGGTGAAACAGTTCCATAGGCCTAACTGAAAATAGACTAAAGTAAAGTTCAGGCATCAGTGGGTTCTTGTGGTTATTTTTTAACAGCATGAAGATGATAGTGGTTTCTAAACCCCAAATCACGTTTTTAGGATGGCCGATATAGCTTAGTTTTACACAGGCTGGGATTCTCCAGGTATGATTTTGGGCTGGCCTTTCTTCCTACGTTTCAGCAATCCTGAAATAAACTTTAGAAAGGCTGTCCACCCAGAATTCTCGATTTGTTGCTGTGGCTAATGGGTGTGGCAGTCACTAAAAGCAGGAGGGCTCCAGATCTTGATGGGGACAGTTGGAAAGTGGATTTACCTGAAAAATGGGGGCTTATCTCTAATTCTGTTATCTAAAGAATTGTGCTGTTACGTGTATGATACAGAACAGTGTTTCTCAACCTTGGCAACTTGAAGACGTGTGGACTTCAACTCCCAGAA